ATTGCAGACATGGATTTGGACCTCAGTTTGGAATATTTGAACTCTGCTCAAATTACTCATCTCACACAGAACTGCAAAAGAAAGTGTTTTAATCTTAATTCATGATAAACAAGAACTGCGAAGTCTTTTTTATTAATACATCAAAGTATTATCTCCAAGGGGAGTTACTTTAATATTAATGTTCAGTGTTTAATATAAATTCACAGCATGAAGACCACCTCAGATGGGTAGAGTTTCTCTGATGTATATCTGATTGCCTGTATGTAATTTGAACATCTCCAGAACATGAAGGGCATAATCAAAGAATAATTAATATGTTGATAAGGAATTACGTTTTGTTCTATTTATCTGCATAATTCAGAGATTCATCAAAGTTTATGATGACAACATCTGTCTTTTGGGGTATTGTTTATATTTTCATTCAAATTATAACATGAAGCATTCTCTGCATTCCATAGTGCCTTTCATCTGCCGAGCTCCAATTACTGTCTGACCAATTAGCTTCAGTATTGCACACATGCAAACCACGTTGGGTACTGTGGAAAATCTAAGCAAGGCATTGAAGCCTGAAACTTGACCTCTAGTTTAGGATACTGAGCTTGAAAACCCTGATTTCCAGGGACATTAAATCTTTGCATTTAATTGGAGTTATGAATACACATGAGAGTCAAAACTAATGGTCACACCAGCACTACATCCTCTTGGGAGCCCTCTGAATGTCAGGGCACTCCAGAGACATCTTGTATGCTGCTTGAGTTCAGGCTGTCTGGAAGTCTGCCCTTGCCTTGCAAGAGATGACATTTTTCAAAACCTTGTAAGGACAGAGTGTGGCTGCAAGCTACATGTGGTGGGGTCCATCTGCTGCATCCAAATTCAAACCAGATCTCAAGGGCAGAGCACCAGACAAAACACCTTGGGCACTTTATGTGCAGTTAAGAAACATACCTTGTGTACAGATTGAAGAATTTACTGCTCTAGTGATTAAAGTATTAGCAATCCAATACAAGAGTTGGTCCAGCTACAAAGATAATAACACTTATAATTCCAAGTATAAAGTTATGGCAAGTTTCCAGTAGCGGCACAGTTGGAATTGATATATATATATATATACTTCCTATTGGCTGTTCCTCTCCTTGGCATTGTTCTTGCCCTTCCTGTGACTTTCTGGATTCAAAAATCAATAGTGCTAGTTTTCCTCAAGATGAAAAGAGGTGTAGAGGAGCTTACAGTGAGTCTTCATCTGAAATTCTTTGTTAAGGAAAGTATGATGTTGCTGGTGGACATATCTTCCTCCTTACTGTTGGGTCAGTTCAGGGTTATCTTTACACACTTCTTGAAAGAGTCAGACTCACTAGAATGGTTGAGGTAGGAAAGCACATCTGGAGGTCATCTTGTCCAACCCAATTGCTCAAGCAAGGCCATCTGTAGCCAACTGTGTCCAGGTGGCTTTTGAGTATCTCCAAGGATGAGGCCTCCACCAGCTCCCTGAGGAACATGTACCAGTGCTTAGTTACCCTTACAGGAAATAAATCTTTCATGATGTACAGAGCCTTCTTCTGTGTGTCGGTGTGTGCCCATTGCCTGTCTCTGGGCACCACTGAGAACATCCTGGCTCTGCCCTCTTTGCACCCTTCCTTCAGGTATTTATCCTCACAGATGAGGTTCCACCAAGGCTTCTCTTTCCCATGCTGAGCAGCCACAGCTCTCTCAAGCCTTTTTTCATCTCTCAGATGCTCCAGGCCCTTCATCATCTTTGTAGCCCTGTGCTGGACTCACTCCAGTAAATCTATATTTTCCTTTTACTGAGGAGCCCATAACTGGATGCAGCACATCAGATGTGGCCTCACCAGTGGTCAGAAGAGGGAAGAATCACCTCCCTTCACCTGCTGTCAGCCCTCCTCGTGCAGCCCAGCATGCTGCCTGCCTTCCTTAGCAGAAGGGCACACGGCTGCTTCGTGTTCTCTTGGTGCCCACCAGGCACCCAGCTTGATTTCTGCAAAGCTGCTTTGTAGTCTTTTGGCTTTTCACTCCTCAACAACAGTGATTCAGTAGAAGATACTGAAGATGACAAGAATATATAACAGGCATATACAGCATGAATAGATACATATAGCTGCAGTTTCACTGACTACTTATTAGTAAGTCTGGAGGTATTGGACTAGGAATGGCACATTGCAAAAATCTCTTTATAACACATCCAGGGAGCAAGAAGTTTTCTAAATACCAGCTGGACACAGTATTTCCCTTTTCAGTGTGAGCTCAGCAGCTGTTCCAATCTTCAGGCCGCCCTTTGGTCCATAAAACATGGAAGTTTAGACGCTGCCTAGATCTCTTAGCTTGGGAATCCAAAGCCAGAAACTTGTAAAAGATGAGTCTGCTTTCAAAATTTAACTCACAGTGACTCTAGGAGTCACCAGAAGTTTTGAAGTCGATCCCGAGGGATGAGATTGTTACCTCTTCTCTATCTATTAGATAGTGTTTCTTCCACATTAAAAATACTATATACTTTATGTTAGAGTCCTTAAAGACTCACATTTTCCAGACCGTTATCCCAACACGTTTTTCAGTGAGCATACAGTGCTCATGTATAAGATCTCTGTTAATTCTCAAGTCAGCAGGTCTCAGCTTTCGAATGACAGGCCAAATATGTGGGATGGGCAGTGTTGTACTGAAAAATGGGTGGGTGGTACTCAGTCCTCCAAGTCTATAGGAAGCCAAGACTCATGGGGGCTGTCAGAAGGCAAGAAAAAGAATATAAATCCTAATGGAGAAGGAGGAGGATGTGAAGGGAACCAAGTTCTTAATCACTTTTGTCCATTAGCAATACCAGAGTATTTTTCTTAGGACTAAAGGGAGGAGAGCCTGATGTCCTTGTCAGCTCTCGAGATATATATCTATATAATGCAAATTTATTCTAACTCATAAATCCTGTTAGTGGTTTCAGCTGGGTAAAGTATTCTCCTTGTTTCTTGTCATAAACTGCTGCAGCATTCTTTTGTGCAGCTGCCACATTTCATCCTAATGCAGCTGCATTTCGCCCAGGGATGAAGTGATCCCTATATATAACTTTCTCTTCAGTTTTTATAACTGTTTAAAGGGCCTCAAGATGAGATGTGGGTTGCAAGCTATTGTTTTATTCGTGTCATCACAAAGTGCTGCATTGTACAAATCAATTGTAAGCTAAGAAAAGTGGCTTTGAAGTGATGCATGAAGATAGAGATTTTTTGGGTTAGGATGGATTTAAAATCCTGTTTCAGGAATCTGTAAGGATGATGACAAAAAATGGGAAACAAGCTAGCATGAAGTAAGGTTGTATAAACTGAGTGGGCATGTGGGACTGTGGGTAGCAAAGATGTCAGAGAAATGAATGACAGAAAGTTAAAGTGGCTTCATAGTGGAAGACATGGAAAGGAAAGGAGAAAAGGAAACCAGCAGCAAATAGGAATGATGATGATGATAAGGAGCAACCAAAAATCTCAAGAGGACACTCAAATGAAGACCTGAATCTCTTTTTTTTCTCACATTACTGAACCATATAACATGGATGAGATTTTCAGCATTGGTTGGGTCTGTTAAACATCTTTGCAGTATTATTAATGCTATGTCTGAAACGTTGAAATGTTTAAACCACTTGGTGTCCAAATCTCATTGCATTCTTATGTTCAGATGCCTGATTGTGCTGTACACCCATTACCAGGAGTTTCCTTGGAAGTCTATATAATGGGAGAATTCCCCAGGGAGTCGATTTTATGCTAGACTTTCAGGAACAGTAATGGCTGCCTGATAGAGTGGCTAATTGCTCTGAAGTAGGAGTCCCTCAGGACATTTCCTGCTCCTAAGTTCTTCAGTGTGTCCCTGCATGCCTGCTGTCTTGGTGTGCTGGCTGCTTCGGTGGCCCCTGCAAGTCCCCTCTCAGCCCAAAGAGCGTGTGGAGTGTAGCACACTGCACAAAGGTCTCTCCTGCACTGCAAACTCTGATTTCCCTGTTGCTGTTTGCACAGCCACCTTCTCGTTATTTGCATGAGGAAACTCATTGCCTTGTACCCCTAGCTGTGATGATGCCTAGATGTAAAAAATTCAAATACAGACACTGTTCCCAGACCTGTAAAGTTTTGTGCTTGATGAACCTGCTATAATCTCAGATCTACCAGTTTTACCAGCATCCCATTAATTTGGGAAAGGAATTCAGCATAATCCTTTTGCTGAAGGGAGACGTAGCTTCCTAAGTCCTTGCTGGAATAACACACCTGTTTTTTCTTGGGAAGTGCAGCCTTGCTGAAGATAGAAGGCTGATGAGAAGTCTCCCAGATGGTCTGTACAGAATTTGGTTGTAGTAGAGAACAAAACAATTATTGTAGTCATTGAAAGAAACATTTTATACAGTCCCAGACTATGTATGAGTAAGAGAAGTGTCAGTAGCTCAGAAGGAAAAGCTGGATAAGCTGATCATCTAACCAGGAAAAAGCCTTTTCATAACACTGCCTTTAGCTTGGCTTCATTTATTCCTTTCTGGAGAATTCTTCTCCAAATCTGTGGTGGTAGCAGTGAGTAGTTAGATAAGGTTCCAACTCATCTCCTGATACCAGTGTCATGTGGCAATATCAGTTCAGATTGCCTTCCTTCTTTTTTATTCCCTCTTTTTTATTAATCTCCCTGCTTTTGTGCTGTGTGTAGAGTGAACAGGAGTTCCCAATTTCCTATTTTTATATTACCCCTGATTTTATACCATTTTAGCATAACCCTTCCTTATTCATCTGCTCTCCAAGGTAAACAGTCACACTCTTTAAATCTCTCAGCATACAAGATTTTTTTTTTTCATGTTCATAAATAATCAGGCTTCTCACTTTCAACCTCTCTAAGAAGTCAGAGCATGAATGGACACATTTGACTATTACTCACCAAGGGTAAAGAATTACACATAAAGGAACTACTCATGAAAGATCTTTTTCTATTGACATTTAAATTATATTCAGCCACAGTAGTTTAAAAGGTCTGTATTTTATTATAATATTACTAGTACCACAATGTTCCATGAAAGGTTTAGGACTATTAAAATAACACTTTGACAGTTTTATTTGTCCCTTCCTTGCAAAACATAACCTTGTCTCTAACACTAATTATATGGCATGATATAAAATAATTCCAATGAAATTCCACTTTTGAAAACCTTATTATCAGGATTTATTGATGCGTGTGCACCATAGTGCAGTAAAACCTATAAATTCATTGTATGCTTATGGTTTATTTTATTTATTATATATTTGTACTATAAATGGTAATTTTACAGCTGCATGGTACAATTGCTGTTGCGTTATTATTGGAATTATTCTGGAAAAGTCCTACAGAGTGGATGGGAATGGGGTAAGCCATTAAACCTCTACCTAAAAGCATGAAAGGTTATTGAAAATTGTATCTGTCCTTATTAAATTGCATGGGGATTTTTCCTTAGGGAATATGACAAGTTTTTAATTTTTCCATGCTCTACACCAAGTGCTTCCACTAGTGAAGTGAGATGATAATACAGCAATTAAGGTATTAACCTGCTCCTTACAAGCTGTAGATCATGGGATCATAAAATCATAGAATAGCATTGGTTGGAAGGACCTTAAGGTTACAAGCCCCCTACAGTGGGTACGCAGGGACACCTTTCACTAGACCAGGTTGCTCACATGTGAGCCCTTGTTTTGCCATGAATTTCCTATGTGAGTTGAAAAGTCATCCTTTCTCCTATTTACAAATATATTCATGTTCTTTCCAATTTAGCACCCTTACACTCTAATTTCAGAGCTCTGAAGAAGCTTTACAAATGCCTCTTAATGGAAACCTATCAGCCTTTTGTGGTACATTGTAGCTGTGGGATGGTAGGAGTGATGCATTTACATGTCCAAAATTTGGAATTTGGATTGTCCAGACTAGATTTCTAAGGGTAACTGAGGAGTGGGATAATCCTATTTTTATGGCCAGAGAAGTGTCAGACATCCAATTCCCATCAACCTCACCTCTAACTTGTATATGTACTTCTGAAGTGCTTTAATTCGCCGTCTTTGAAATAAGAAGAGTAGCATAGATAAATATCCTAAAGACTGTGATAGAGAGCCAAGAGAGTAATGGCATCCATTGCAATATCTCAGACTGAGCTGCAAGAAGAAGCTGAAACCTGCTAGAGCTGTTCTCATGCAGCTTCAGCCTGAGTGAACTTCTCCAAAGAACTCATGGTCCCTCAAGAGCGCTCTTATGGGGAGACTTCAGAGTGGTGACATTGCTTGTTGGTGGCTTGACAGGTTTATGGGACACAAGGGTTGTAGCAGGACCTGTGAGACAGGGCTGTCTGAGTGCCTACAGCTGCCTGGAGCATGCCTCAGCTCTAAGACTCCATCAGTGTTTCCTCCCCAGGAGTATTCTCTGGTTTAACTTTTGTACAGTTCTGCAGCAATTCCTGAGAGTAAAAGGCATTTTACCACCCTGGGTTGAGCTGAGCCTCCAAACTGACCCTAGAATGCCAGGCAGCCTAGAGTTTTGTTCTGGGAGATGCAGCACAAACTCATCCCAACAGTTTTCCTCCTCTTGCAGGAAAGAGTAAGACAAGTACCAAAAGTTGACGTAACCGGACTAACCACTTGCTCACTCATGCGGCTCCACAGTCAAATGCACTTCTTTCCAATTAATTGATTAATCATTTTCTCTAACATCCCTAGATATTTTATCTGAATATACTAAATTAGATTTAAGTGGTGAGCAATACAGGGGGAATACTAAAGTGAACATTAACAGTGATTTGTTACAGAAGATGAACAATAAAGGTTATCACATAAAGTTGACATAAACACAATAGATGGGGTAATTATTTACCTTATTTATTCTAGTTGCTAAATCTTTCACTGCATTGTGCCAAGGGACATCTGCATTTTAAATAAAAATGTAAAAATAAAAAGAGAGAAACACCAAAACAGAAGACAGAAGAAAAAGGCAAAAATATGACGAAATACTGATATCTAGACAGGAAAAAGGAAAGGACTATAGTAACTAGGTCTTAGCATTGATATTTGTAGATGGTGATAAGTTTCCAAGCCAGAAAATTAATTTATTTACATGAGTTTGTCCTGAGAGAGCTGTTCACCAAACAACTTTTTAGACTCTTTAGACTTTTTAGACTTTTTAGTTCTCCTGTGCCCCTTCATGAGGGAAGGACTGTTCCATTGGTTTGACTTTCTTGAGCTTGTTAAAACACAGCTAACATAAATTAAACAGAACCCTTGGAGCACTTGAATCAGTTTGCTAATCCACCAGTAGATCATTCCCACCACTTTTGGAGGGTTGGTTTTCTACCAGCTTAGGGGATTGAGCTGGGTCTCTGAAGGGTTAGCCGGTGTGCCACAAAGGGAAGCAGGAGAAGCAGTCAGCTGGCTTTGGATAGGCAGGACAAGGATGTCCCCTTCAGAGGCAGCTGGCTGCTAGTCTGGTGTTGGGCAAATCATTTTGGGAAGAATCAGAGAAAGTGTTGGAAGAGCAGGAGCGATGACAAACAACTGTCTCCATTTCAGCCCCAGAACAGCCAGAGCCACCCACATGGTTTGTGGGAGACAAGCTCAAGCCTGTTTAATACTAAAGATAGACTCAAAGCCAAGACCCAGCTGTGCTCAGAATACTTGTCACATTTCCTGATTGAACCTCTCTCCTCATTTTGCCCTGAATTATAACCCACTACCAGTAGAAAAATGAAATGGAAAAGAGAAATTTGTTTTCTTCACGCTTCAACTAGAAACTGAAAAAAACTCCTTATAATTCTAGTCCTGTGAGACATACTGACAGTTGTCAATATTTGGGACTGAATTATTATCTAGCCTTAATAATTAATGATTGTTGTTAACTGCTGCCCAAGCAGGTGGAAAGCAGTGGGCAAATTATGCCTAGGTTTTTTTCCAGCCACAGAGCAGAAAGAACAGTAGTGCATAAGGACAAACCCACCATCAGGTGTGCTGGGGCAAGCAGCCTTTTTGGTCCTGCCAAGGGAAATGCTGTTTCTGGGTCAGTGGTGGCTCACAGGCTTCTGGTAGGAGCTGTAGGAACTGTGCCTCCTGCCAGCCTTGAGCCATGTCCTCTCTGAAATCACTCTTTTCACCATGACAGCCCTTCTCTGTGCTGTTGACAAACTGCCTTGGTGCCACCTCTGAACACATGTGGGTTTCCAAGTCCTTCCATGTTGCACCAGGACAGTGCATCTGCTGGAAGCAGGATACAACCCCTGTACTAGCCTGGAAATGGGAACAGAACTAGGACAACACTGCCAAAAGTATTTCTACCACCCTCCATTGACACCGCCACTGAGGTCTTTTTGGTGCTGCACATCTCTTCCCAAAGAAGTCTTCACTAATGTTTCACTATGAAGAAAAAGCAAATATTAGGATATGAGCACAAAAAGAGAAGGTTAAACTTAGCATGTCAAATTATTGTTCACACATTGCAGTAATGAAAGCATCTATATTGCATTCTGAATTATAACTTGGATTACATGCTCAGGGCAGAATAGCAGAAATCATCTTTGATGTCTGCTGAGGACTGAATCCTTTGTTGTGCCTTTTCACCTAAACTGTAGGAGGGACCAAGAGTGGAATGACTGGAACAGGTGCCCTTGGCCAGCAGGAACAAACTTGTATGAGCTAAGTCTTGTTTTGGGCTGAGCCAGCAGCCTGGTGCACTTCTGTCCTCCTGCTGTCCTCTGGAAAAGACCTGAAAGAGAGATATGGAAGGGAACTGGGCACTGATACTTGTCTTGAAACTCAGTGTCCTGGAAGATTAGCAAATCCTACTCAAGGCTGAGGTAGCCATTCAGAAAATGAGAATACTCCCCAGAAATGCCTTCATGGAGGATATAGAGTCAAAGTTTTGAAAGCAGAAGTTAATCAGTCAATTGTATTTGACTGAATACAGTATGTTGCAAACAACCTCATAAAAAAGAAGTAAAAAACAAACCAAAAACACCACAAATACCTAAAACCAAAATCTCAGAGAAGAGTGAGATCTACTTTCTTGTTTATTCCCTATAATTACTCAGCCATTGCAACCTGAGATTTTTTTAGATCAAGAATATTTCTCAGCAAGCTCCTCTGAGCAGCCAACTGCAAAAAAACACTGAAATATGATAAGCGTATAAGAGCATTAAATGGTAGCATTCTCCATCACCCACAGCCTCTGTCAGTTGTGTTTCCAGGCCAGATGAAGCTAGAATGTACGTACAGCTTTTCTGAGTTGTAAAATACATTTTGAAATGGGATTGATTTGTCTGTGATTCATGAGATTGAATTAAGCAAAAGAAAAAAAAGTATAAAGACTTGTCTTTTTTCCAAGCATTTAATAGAAATAGTCTAACTGGAACATAATAGAGATGTGCTTTCAGCATACAGATGTGCTGTAGTGAGAGCCACGTTTTATGTAAGCTGCTTATTCTTTTGTGCACTGTCAAGAACTGAATGTACTTTCATACTCCGTTTTTTGGCCTTGACATGAACTAATATCAAAGCAAATGAAGACCCGGTGGTAAATCCTTTTTAGCACTGCTAATGATTGTGACCATTGTGGAGTTGTTCCTGGCTGTCTAATCGTCTTTGGGATATTGAGCTTTTGATACATAGACCTTGTATTCTGAATTTTGATTTCTGCAACAAAATTTGCCGGTGTGATTCATTTTGTAGGGGATCAGAAAGGTGTGCAGGTCACACACTGCAGACTACATTCAAAGCAGATTTTACAGTGAGCTTCAGTGGGTAAAGTCATTAAGGGTATAATGAGTGATCTGAACAGAATTTCATGGGCAGAAGTTTACAACAGCATGTCTTACCTATAAAAATGCATTTTAGTAGAAAACTGATTTACAACTGGAATTTTTTTCACATGCAAGGCAAAATATGCAGAAGAGCAACTGAGCCTGATCAGCTTCTTCCAGTTCCATTGCTTGCTTTATAGTTAGGGTTTTGTATTATGGCTGTCTAGACTTTACAGCCACAAATGTGCCAAAACCTTTGACTGGTTCATTCAGGTTGATTAATAAGCAATATAAAATGTCTACTTTCTTTAACACCTGCCCACTCTGTTTCTTCGTGCTTTGCAAATGTAAGAGATGCAGATATGTCCTTTGACTTTGATCCTGTAAACCAAAACTGTTCAGGTGGTAGATCCTGATCTAGGTTTGGACAGCACAAAGAGATGTTTCCCAGGTTTCCTCTGAACCCCACCTTTGTGTGGATGGGCCTCTGTTTTCAGCTGTTCCCCTGTTGGTCCAGGAGCAGCTGCACATGCAGGCAGTGCAGGTGCTGGGCAGGGCTGGAGCCAGCACACTGCTTTCCAGAATGTGAGCCCATGGAGCTTGGTAAGAATAGAGGTGCCCCTGCAATTGTCCCTTCAGTATCATGCCACCTGCAGTGGGGTTTTCCTGGCAGTGCTTTCCATGCATTTCATGTGGCATTCTGCTCCTCAAGAAATGTCAGAACAGGAAAGAACGCAGTGCTGCTCCCTGTCACCCCATTTTCACCCTGCTCCACCTTCACATCTTGCCAGCAACTTACCCTTGGGGGAGGGTAGATCACAGAGCCACAAACCTGGCTGAACAACTTCTGCTGCAGGGAGATGGTTAACACTTGGTCCCAGCCACCAAGGGGCTTTGTGCACCCCAGGGTCCTGTGGAGACAGGCAGGTTTCTCAGAGGGACTCTCTTCTGATGCCATAGTGTGATTCAGAGTGATGACAGTACTGTAACAGCAAAAACATCCTATCAAATTTCTTTGTTATTTCTTTGTCATTGAAAGAGCTTCTAATTCAAAATAACAGAGTGTGAACTGTTTTCTCTTTCCTCTTTTTGCTCAGAAATCGAAGCAAAGGAAGCGTGTGACTGGTTACGTGCAGCTGGATTTCCCCAATATGCTCAGTTCTATGAGGGTAAGTTGGTCTTTCTCCTCTTTGTGCGGTTCTGAAAGTGCACTGGGCCCTCGCCAGGAGAGCTTGCAGTCAGCCAACTGCACATTTGACTGAGTTATGGCCATGGCTGGATGCTTCACAAAGCTTCAGCTGCTGGAGTCATACCAGTGCATGAAGAAAAGTAAGATTCTTACCCTTGTAACCATGGGAAGTTTAAAAAAAAAGGGAGGGGACATAGCTTGTGTAAACCCCAAAGGTTAAAACAAATTAATACAAAATATCTAAAAACATGAGGTTATTTTCTAAAAACTTTCTGAAACGTGCCTGAAATAAAGACAGTAGAAATTATTGAAAATTTCAATCATGCTGAAAGTAAGACTGAAAACTCTGCAGAGTTACCAAAAGTGAATAATCTGAGTTGCACTTCACATTTGCAAAGTAAGAAAAGCTGACAGTTCAGTGCTACCTCAGTGCAAATGGTGGTGTCCCCTTCCCAGGTGCTAAGTTCATGCCCAGGGAAGCAGTGTCCCTGAAGGCAGGGCTGGGTTGCACTGCTGCTGTGTTCCATAGAGTAGTTTGGAGACTGGAGCTGAGTTTTTCCTGCTCTTCCCAGCTTAGTGCTGAGAGGGAAACTGTGGCTGAGCCTCGTTTTTCCCAAAGTGCATGTTCTCCCTGGCAGAGACACCCAGCTCAGGCCACTTGGGCTTATTAGCCAAAAGGCAGCCCTGCCAAACACCTCTGGACACCTTCCAGGGTCAGCATGAGTCGGAGGCAGCACACATCCACTCATGGAATGAGGCCCAAGGAGCCTCATTGTTCAGAGCCAAGTCTGCAGGGAATCAGCTGGGACACCACCCCTCCCCTCGTGTGGGGCTGAGGATGGCAGGGAGTGGGAGCTGAGGACACCCCCGTGCCCAGCTGAGCTCCATCAGGGCCTGTTGGGCTGCTCAGGTGCCTGGGCACAGGAGCACCATTCAGAGATGCTCAGGTGGCTCCACAGGAGGCAGGCAGGCTCTGTTAAATCCAGCAAGGAACTAAGACTAATAAGCCTGCCAGACCAAAACTGACACAAATATGAATCTAGCACAGTCCCTGGGTAGCCAGCAGTACTTCTGTGTCTGCCTTGTATTCAGAGTATGTCACATAGTGACTCCCCCAGAGAAAGGAACACCTGCTGCCTGCTTAATTCAAAAGGATGTTCTCTCTAAAAAACAACCTGTGCTGGGCTCCAACAGTTCCCATGCAGTCAATATGTGCTCTAGACAGACTATGTCTCCAAAAACAAGGTGCTTTTCACAGGCATCTATTATGTCAGTGTGAGCAGTAGTGTCTGAAAATGCTGGCTGAAGTTCCTGTGTCCCAGTGTCCTGCTGAGGTACGTAAGCATGGCAGAGCAGTCTGGAGAGCAGCCACAGCACTGGAACCCATCCCACTGTTACAGAGCTGTGTCACTTTTCATTGCAAATGTCAGCTTCCAGCATACTGTTCTGGCTTTTTAGCTAATATTGGGGATTATAATTCAGTTTGAGGGGGTTTTTTTGTCTGTTATTTGAGTAACCCTCTGTCTGAAATCATTGTTATTTGGATCTGTTTTAAAAACAAAAGGCACAGAACATTTCTGGGGCTTTGGCAAAGTCTGTCTAGCAAATAACTCATTAAGCCACTGTAATGAGAAGGGAAAACCTTGTTGCTCATGTAAAATAAGTGTGGTGGTAATTCCCTGATCTCATCCATTGTGCAAGGTGCTAAAATGAACAGCTAACAGTTGAGTATTTTTTAAAGCTAAAATGAAATAATTCTGCTGTCACTCTAGTGCAGTGGACGTTCAGCTATACCTTTAACAGAAAAAAAAACAAAAACAGAATGGTGTAAGAAAAGGTCACAGATACAGCTGGAAGGGAGACAGCTGAGTGAAATTGGTCATACTAGATTTCAGTGAGCAAGCACATGCAAAGCAATTTAGATGTAGATAACATATTTTCACTTGAGCAGCAAGTGGTCATCTTAATAATGTGTCTCCTTTTACAGACTCCCAGTTTCCCATTGACATTGCTGCAGTAAAGAAAGATCATGATTTTCTTGACAAGGACCTTGTAGAACCTCTTTGCAGGTAAATAACACTCCAAGTTTCTTTTCTGATAATTTAAAAGCATGAGATGATTTTTGACTGTTGGTATAGCAGCAGTTGAGGTGTGTGCATGTCCAGGTGCATTAAGTGATGAGATCTATAATGCCACCATCCTGAGTTAATTTCTCTTACAGAAGATGCTGCAGTAGGGGACCCACTACATCACAGAAAGCATCACATAATTTGAGAAGACCCAAATCCAATGGATTTGAAACAGATGCTTTTTAAGAACTAACAGTAGTGCAAGCAAACCCTGAATAAATAAGGGTCACATTTGAGTCTCACACTAATAACTCCTATATCTAAGTCCAGCAAAAAAGATGACACTTCATTGCAGAGAATTCAGCAAGCCCTTTTCTCTGTCAGCAGGCACGGTTTGCATGCTGCTGTGATTCCCTTGGTACTCTCATTTGGCACCAGTAGCAGAAGTGGGACCAGACCCCCCAGTAGTACAGATGCTACAACTGATCAGTGCTTTGGCCCTCCCAGCTGTCCTGTGTCTGCTGTTTATCTTGCTTTTTGTACTCTGTGATGAATATACCATACTGCATTGCTCAAGTCCTGTCCCCCCGGACTCAAGACACAGCAATTCTGTGGCAGTTTTGCAAAACCACATTGCAGAGACATTGTTCCCCTCTTCTTTCCCCTGTGCTCAGCTCAGGCTGGTTTTGCTCCTCTCCTCTACAAGTCAGGACAAAGGAGCATCTGGCCCTTGACTGAGCAGGCTTCATTACATGTTATGGAAACTTTCACAACACCAACATCAAGATAATTGTCAAGACTCTGTTTCCCTTTCTGCAACTGTGGCTTAAGTCAGCAGAGATGGCTTTAGGAGATGCTGTTCCACATCATACTGTACATTGTAAGGATTAATGAGTTTGTGGTGGAAGAATGCAGAAAAGGTTTCTGAGAATCACCATAAATAGGGGTGATAGAGACTTCATCTAGTCCACCTCTCCATCCCAGACTATGCCCCCCTTCTTGGCAGACCCAGGTAGTTTCTGGACATAGCTGTCAGACTGCTTTTCCAAAATTCCCCTGCTGCAAGTTGCTTCTCATGCTATCTATTATGGCTATGGGGGACGGAATATTATCTGTGTCTATGTAATAGCCTTTGTGTCTGAAGGTAAATCAGTCGGAAAGATTTGGATTCTCCAGTGATCTCTCTCACAGATGCCTGAGAACAGAATTAATTGCAGACTTGATCCACTGCTGTTCTGTGCTGCCTGCTGAGAGAGATTGCTGGGCGGGGGATACCTTCTTCCCATACATTTGTACATCCCCCTGCTTCAGTCTGGCATGATGGAAGACATGCTTTGCTGCAGTTTGGGAACTGGAAAGTGATAGAGATAGGAGATTGAGATCTCTTCCCCTCTGCCCTTTACCACAAAATTGAAGGACCATTAAAAATGCAAGATGTCTGTTCCTGCCCCTTTCTTGTGAGAGAAAACAGTGAGATATTAGTCATTCCATAGCTCTGTGATGTTCCCTAATCATTCTTCTCTGAAGTAATTTGCAATGGTGGTGCTGCAGTCATGGTCACCAGGCATCCAACACCTACACAGCTAAAAATGGGAACAGCTTATCTCTTGCTCTTTCAGCCTTTCTGTAGACTCACAGATACACGTACAGTTACTATGTTGATATATTTATGAGGATTATTTTCAAGCTGAGAAGTTAGAGACTTGGTTGGGTTAGGGGTTTTTCTCTTTTATTAAAACATGAGGGTTTAAAAGATTAAGTAGCAGCTAGATACATGCACTCATGGGAAAAAAAAAAACTTTACATTAGCCTAAAGCAAGGCACAATGATGAGACCTATAGAAAAAAAGCATAGACACAGATATTTCCACACTTTAAAGATAAATGGGTTTATTACTCTCTAACTACTTCTTCTGTAATTATTTTATTCAGAAGACAACACTTGTTTATTTGACTTTTTGTTGGGAGCTTTTAAACAGCTTAGATCTTAAGAAAGAATAGCTCCTCATAATATTAGAAATACAAGTATTATGTACAGGTAATGTTTTTGGATTGCAGACATTTAACTGGATGTAACTCAGCAGCTTCAAACCCTTTGCTGAAAGCGAGCTGTAAAAAGCCATTGTACCAAATGCCAAGATTCATCAGAAACAGTCAATAGTGTCCACTGCTGCCCCCAGTTCCAGCTTTGTTACTCTGTGAGCTATCAAACCAACATCTTCCAAGTTTTCCAGTGCATTGGAATTCCTCACAGCTCAGCTGACCACTGTGGGCAGTTCTCTGCCCTTCCTTTGCTCTGTGATGTTACTGCAAGGTGCACACCAGTGTACCACATGAGAGCTGCAGGCTGTGGTGCACTTTGAGGAAAGAGAAAGTTGAAAAAGGCTGGTTATTATCTCTGTGTGCAGATTCCCAGGTTGGCAGTCAAACTTCCATTCTTCTAACATTCAAAGCTGCCCTTAAAGCTATGCGTGACCAAGCCATCACACTGACTAATAGTGCATTCAGCACATAGTGCTGAACAAAATGGGCTTCTCATTGCTTTTTGGAAGATAATTTTAAAGCTGAAATGCCAGCATGGATAATCAGTTAGAGCAGTTTTAGCTCTGAATAGTAATAGCATAAACAGTGAATTTCTCTGCTCTTGTGAGTTGAAATCAGACTCTCCATCTCATTTTATAATCAGTTTTCTTATGGCATTGAAGTATACCAGACAACGTGAGGCATAAATGAGGAAGAACCTATTTTAAGACAGCTGGTAGTATTTTTGTCAGAAAGTCTAAGACTCCCTGTTGTAAAAGATTTCAGTGACCTTTTTGAGATATTCTAACATTCCTGCTGTTTACAATATAATTTGAAAATCTGGCAGAGTAAAAACCAAATTTGAGGCCTTTGGGTTAGAGGTGTATCTATCAAGAGATTCCTCTCAGATTTTATTGAGTAATGAACAATAGAGAATTGCCAGGCAATCTGCAGGCAAACGCTGTCATCCTGCCAAAACAATAATTGAGCATGAAAATTTTATAGCTGTGTCACGTCCAAAATAGCAGCAACCAACTCTGCTCTGGGAACTCTTGGGCTGCTGTGATAAGAGGGTGAGAAGGAGAAGCCAAGCCATGTTGTGCTTTTTGTATTCACGTAAATACAGTGACTAAGAACATGAAGAACAAGTACATCAGAGTCTGATACATAGTTCCCCAAATCAAGCTCTTAAAATTTGAGTTGTGCCAAGCAGTCTTTTTTCCCTTAGCATTTTTTTTTCCATAGCTGTTGGCTCTTAGATTATAAACAAAGTGAAGGTTGCTGTATGGGATGGGACATCCTCCCACCAGAATTCTGAAATGATGGATGTGCAGTCAGTACCATCTGCTGGGTTATCTTGCTCTACGTCCTGGGGGAGGATAAGCCTGACTCTCCCCATGCAGGACAGAAAGCCCTGCTCTGGAGGCAGCAGGATTGCTCTCCTTGACTTCCAGGAGAGATTGCTCATCTCATGTG